TCAAGAGGTCGTCCGGCACATCCTGAAACAAATGCTTCAGCTTGAGTGTGAGGGCCATTTCTGTTGACAAAGGTGGAGCCATAGGGACCATTGACGGCTGTGCAAACAATGTCTTGATAAGCAAAGCTTTCTGCGCCAAATGAACCTGACGTCGCTCCAGCCTGTCAATCATCTGCCGTCCCAGCTCCTTGTTGACCATAGGGCAGCCATGTTGTATTGTCACTTCCAACTTGTTGCCCCGATCATCTTTCAGCAAACAATAGGAACCCTTCCACTCAAAGCGATAGCCCAACTCCGCAATGCCGCCCAAGGGAACAATCCATGACTTGTCCAGCTCAGTGTCATGCGGAGCAGAGAGAAGCACTTTTGAGTCCTGCTTCAGACGGAGCTTGTTGGACACTCCTTCAGCCAGGGTGACTTGTGTAGGTTGCGCAGCCTCCCATTCACGTAGGTCGACTGCCGGGCGAAGTGCATGAGTTGCACCCGAGTCCAAAAGCACTGTAGACCCGCTGGTGTCATAGTCAAGCTGACTCACCCTTATCACACGCAATTGAGGAGCACGTAGGGACTTGAGGAGTTGTGTGGCTTCATGGAGCAATGCTTCACTGGTTGTTGCCCCTGTGTCCGCACCCCCTTTCACCATTGTTGTCTCCCCCGATTGACCATCGCCCTGACCAGTGGCGCTATTGCCGTCCTGCTGAACCTCCATCTCCTGCAGCTTTGCGGTTGCGGCGCCTTGTGACGTGGTGCCACTTGACTGCAATCCGGCATTGGAGGTCCCATTGGAAGAGGACTGAGACTTCCCTCCCCCTGAGCCGGAACCCGGCTCACCAGCGCCCTTGCTTGCTTTGATCGGCGAGGACTTGATCTGTGCTTTCAACTTGCACTCCGTCTTTCTGTGGTCCTTACCGCCACATATCCAGCACCGGGTATGTTTGTCCTCGATGCCCGCCCAGGAATGAGACCATTTGCAGCTCTTTCCAGCTTTACAACCCGGATCAGAGCGGAAATACCGGCAAGGCGTTGAACTGGTTGTAGATCCAGCTGACCCTCCTTTGCCCTTGTCACCAGGGGAGGAAACTGAAGTCGTCTTCTGCGGTGCGTCCAGCTGCTTGACCTTAACAGGAGAGGGCTGCCCACCTGAAGGCGTTCCCAACAGCGAGAGGGTCTCAGCTTCCGCCAGCAAGCATTGACTGAACCTCCAAACACTCTGGTGAATAGGCTGTTGATCCACGGCCAACTGCAACCGGCTCTGCGCCAACCGAAAGGAAGCTTGAGCATCCAGCGAAGCCACCAACACACAAGCAGGCTCAAGGGCCTTCAACAACAAAGTGCCATCCGGCAGCACCGCGTCAACCTCTTGAGCCCGGGCGTAATGACGCCGCCATGAGCGTAGAGCTGTTGCAAGATCCGAAGCTCCAGTGATCTTGTCCAGGGTGGTCAACTTGGACAGCAAAATGGCTTTCTCCCCTGCACCGCCTGGTTGATAGCGGATGAGAAGCCTGAACAACAGGGCCGTGGAGTTCAACTCTCTGGCCGTGATGAGCGCTTGCTGCTGGTCTGCAGGGATCGCCCTCAGCAACAGGTTCACTCCTCTTTGCTCCGTGCGTTGATAGCAGCCATCCAACAACTCATCAGGAAGTCGGGCCACAATCTGGACACGCTCCAACGGAGATGATGTCTTCCACCGGTCGTAGAAGCACTGAGCCTCCCTCAAAGTGAGATTCCACCAGCGAGCACTGACCGAAGAAAGATCCCTCATCACTGGGCCGCAAACAGCCAACCAGTCCCCCAATTCAATGGGTGAAGCGTCGGATGCCAACTCGACAAGCTCGGCCTTGCTGTTGCCAGTGCCTTCACTCCAAGGCAGCGGCATGGCTGGCTGCCCGCCAGCTTGGTGCCATCGACCATAAGGCATGTCGCCTCCTTCACGAGGTCCCACACTAGAAGACCTTTCCTTTTGAACAGAAGCCCAACCATCATTTGGGGAGACACCATCACGTCCCAGACCAACACCAGGTCCACGAGTAGGGGCCCACCCAAAACTTTGAGGTTGCGAGGCACACGTCACTGATGGAGGCGGAACCGCCTCACTAGATCCTGCCGAGTTGCCGCGCATCTGAGTCAAAGCAGCTTTGAGCTCGCTTACTTCTCGCTCCAGGCGCTCGGTCTTGTTCTCCGTGGTGATCGGCACATAAGATTTGCCCTCCCGCATGCAGAGCGGAACCCACTGCGAGTCACCTCGCCGCTTAGCATCGAAGAGCTCATAGTGCTGCATCTGAATTTCAGCCGAGTCACCACTAATTTCAGCTGAGACACTTGTGGGGAAAGGTGGCATTGGAGGTGCATCCAGATCCAAAGGCGGTGGCCCGTTAGGAATCTGAGTTCCATTTGGTGTGTACCGCATCTGCTGAGAGACTTGGAGCCTTCGAGTGGTCGGGCTCCTTCCCCTTGGAGTGCTCACCATAGGGTCACCATCACTATACAGACCATTACCTTTGGGGGCTGCACCACGAACATGTACGTGAGGACCTCCATCATGTAGACCATTCTCCCCAACCCCAGGACCCACTCCTCCATCAACCGTCTCCCATGATGAAGGTGTCGAAACCGGGCCCGAACGATTGGCGGCTTGCTGCTGCCTAAGTCGGGAGACTTCTTCTTGAAGCTTTTCATTCTCCTCCCTCAGGAAGATCACCATTTCCGCTTCCATCGCACGCTGCAGCCCACATGAATCGTCCGCATCCGGCTTGGGGGGCGGTGCATGCTTTGGAGGAGGAGCATACTGCGGTGGGATTGGTCCCATCGTTTTGTCTCGCCCGCTTGGAGGTTCCCCACTGGATTCCCCAGGCATTTGACCCTCAGTCTTTTCAAGCCCACCACGGCCTCTTCCCTCGGACCCACGGCGGCTCGGAGGTGTGACGAACAGCCGTCCGCCCAAGGTCAGTGCACCCCGACCTTTTCCCAAGCCGCTAGCGGTGTTCTGATCCTGCACCGCTTCCAGGTCCAAGTCTTCGTCCTGTGGGACTGGCAAGTCCTCGGGTCGCTTGTGGCGCAACAGCGCCTCAGCCTGCAGCCGCTCCGACCACCAGGGGTTTACGATGGCCGCATGGCCACTCGCCGGCACCGAGTGTGACCGTTCGGCCGCCATCGCTCGCGCGGAACCGCGCTAGGGTCTTGGGCTCATAACCCTCGACAAAAACCTCACACCTTTTCTTCTTGGACAAAAAATGCCTGTGCGCGGTGGTCTCACCGTCAGACTAGGATTTGTTTCGTTGCTAGAGGCTTTTTAGGTTTCATGATAATTTTTAGTCCAGTGCTACAGAGCGCCGATTCGGCTTTCTGGCTAAGTGCCTCCGGGCCTATTCCTTTGACCCCACTCCGCACACACCCCCACACCGCCTCTTTCTCTCCTTCCTTTCTTTCGTTTGCTAGGTCTTCTCTCAGGCTTGTTAGGTTGCGTTTAGGCTCGTTTAGTTGATGCAACCCCTATCATCCCCCTTCCCGCGAAAAAGGAGTGCGACAGGGAGCGCCGTTGCGGCGATGCGAGTGTGTGTTTGTGTGTGTCAACTCCTTTCCCAAGGAACTTTGTACAGAAATGCAGGGGGCACTGGGGGTGCTGATGAGACCAGTGCTAACAAAGACGCTCGTGAGTCACCTGTGATACAGTTCAAGATGTCCAACTGCGTACCTGCCTTTCTAATTTCTGGTTCCGGTTGTGATGTTTTAAATTTACAAGCTGTTACCCTCCTCTCCAGTAAAGTGCTAATGCGTCGTTGTCAAAACAATACTGTTACTGTGGACTTCTTCGCCTTTCCGTTCCCTCAGCCAAGGTCTAAAGGTCTACTTGCAGTAACACAGGAGTTACCAAGCTGATATAGCTCTTGCGAGCGCGGATCTAAGTGTGTGTGTGTGTGTAACCCTTGGAGTCATAGGGATCCAGTTTGGATTTGATTTCTAGTGCAGGGGGCATGGCAGCTGTTTCCCTAGCCATGCCAACGAAGCTACGGGATTCAGCCGGAAGGGAATGTGGACGCACATTCCTGTACCTGCAACGTGAACTGTTTTCAAGCTGTTCCACTTCTGTGTTTTGCAGTAAGCGTCTAATGCAGCGGTGATTCACTTCAGATTGTGAACTTGACTTTTTTGCACGAACGTCGTCACCTTGTCGTCCGCTCGATCGGTATTTTCTTTTAGAGTTGCTGGCCTCTTGAAACCTTCGGGACCTCCGCTGGATGGACCTCCACCTCCTTTTAGGTTTCCTTACCTGTACCCTTAGGAATTGGAACCCTAGGCCGGCGTGTGGCACCGCAGTCAGTTCCGTACACAATATCTCAAGTGTGTGTGTGTCAACGCCTGTCTCCGAGGATTCGGACACACTAAGGAACTCACTTGCAGTTAATTCATTCTAGCTTTACCTCATCACTCAATATACAGAGCAGGGGGTAGCGGCCGGCAGATGATTTGGGACCGCTACAAACGAAGACGCGCATGAGATCTGGTGAAGCACTGGGAGACATCCTAGTGTGTACCTGCAGCTTGACGATCAGATGGTGCAAACAATACTGTTTCCGACCCCTTCACCTTGCGGTTTGAGTATGGCCATTGACAGGTTTCAGGTTTCAGCGCTCTACATCTACATCGGTAATAGAATCACTAGAGTGGATCGCCTCAACTGATACAGCTCTTGCGGGCCCTCATCTAAGTGTGTGTGTGTGTGTGTTGGGTGGTGACGATGGATTCCCGGTGCTCAGTGGGTCCCAATGGTGCTCCAGTCAAGGACTGCGGTTCCTCCGGAAGCTGCCCTAGTCTACATTGTCACACTAAAGGATTCGGGGCAAACTGGGATCCTTGGGGGTGGAATTCAGAGTGCAAGGGAAGGCCTCATATTTGCAACAGAACAAGAAACACTATATGAACATACATGGAGTTAGTTGATGTGGACATGGACCAACATCTATTTTGAGCAGCGGTCTCTTGCTTCTGCCGAGTCCTGGCAGGCTCTGAATGGCAAACCCTTGAGTTCGTAGTGCTGCCTGCGAGATCATCTGCTTTGTTGAGTCTGAGTACATGTTAGGCTCAGATCAAGGTCACACATTGCATTTTGTCGTTGATACTTTCTGCTTAATCGGTACTGATGATTTGCGGGCTTGGAGGACCTCAAGTAGCAGCAAAAAGAAGTCGCACGGCACCGGCGGTTTTGCCTGTGCATGCAAACTTCATTCTCTACCGCTTCAAGCAACCTAACTAACATGAGTACAGGACCTTCCAAAGAGGGTCACATTATGTCACAAAGACACTCTTCATTTATACTGCCTTGAACAGAGTAAGGGTTGCCTTTCGCAGAACTCATATGTAAGGAAATAATGTTCTTTGGTGTGTTTCTACCTTTAGAACATGACTCATAAGTCCCATGTTGTCCTTATATCATGCACAACTGCACAATATGTTATCCAAATCTTCCTTATTAAGTGGAGAACTGGCTCTTTTGGCCTAAGGTCGTGAGGAGAAACCTGAGACGCGACACAGCCAAGGAGGGCCTAGTAATGCAGTTGAAGCATTGTTGAACAGTTTGATGGAAGACAGAGTTGTTGCTGGCCTGAGATTGCAACAGAGATTCCGAATGCCCATGAAGCTTGCTACTGCAGCTCCTATAAACATGTTTGTTACGTTACCTTTGTGCCAACATTCAGTGTGGTCGAGGTTCACCATAGACTTCATATGATATCACTACAACCATTCAATTGCATGCAATTGTTGTTTTGTTTATTCCGGTTTCACTTGATATTCACATATTTTTTATCCCATGAACTTTGCAACTGATCAAGGAGGATGCATCTTCCTGGTGCAATACGCTACCATTTTACCAGCAATGGTAGCAGGTGCCTCCTTTCCAATAAAACCGGTCTCCAAATGACATGTAGCAAAGCCAACAGTCTTGTTCTGGACAAACTGGATTTTGTTTCTTGTATTAAGGGGTAGTGACATTGCCAATGCTAGCCTAGAAACCTACTAGCGACTTGTTACCAATCATGTAGCAGGCGCCTCTAGTGCTAAAGCGAGGTCTTAAAGTTGACCCATCCGAAGATTTATGTCGATGGACAATGCCTTTTGCAGTAGCATTGTCCACGAGGTCGCCAGATGAACTCCGGGCTCTGCGACACAATTGCGACACTCTGAGTGCTCCAGATCTGATCGCTCCTTTTCCAGTTTCCATCCTTCAAGATCCTTCAAGTTCCTCCAGGTCCTATGGGATGCTTTGACTGCCTTGCCGGGTAAGCCTTACTTTCACTCGCACCAAATTTGAAGCAATGTTCTGTTGGTTGGCATTGTGAGGCAGAAGCTGCATGTATGGTGTCCAATGGCGCTTCTGATATTGATTTCAATCCTATGTGCTTTGCTCAGCATGTCGCCTTACGATGCACAAAATGACCAAGAATTAAACAGGACATTTTCAAGTTCAGAGTTGGAGTTCCACAGTTTTACATCGCAAGTATATTAAGATGTTACTGATAATGGATTTCCTCCATTGTACACTGACGACTAATATGAAGCTTGCAGTTGCATAGGAGTCATAGGATCTATATACATATATATATATATACTGTATCATATATCGAGCAACTGCATTTCTGGGCTGCCTGGCTACCCCATGGACAGGACATCTAAGCTTCATGAACCAGGGAATATCGTACCAAATCCGCGTCATTCTGCGTCCCAATGAGAAAGCCGAAAGCTCTCCAACTTAGCGTTTTGCCTCAGTCCTGAAGCAAATTGAATCATTTGCGAGTCAACTGCAAAGACCATCTCAACATAGCTCAACAAATTGGGATTTACACAATTTGTCACAGGGCATATACACAAAATGTTTGCTTGGCGTTGACCATGCTGTTCGGGCAATGCTGTTGACCCAGCCTACAGATGGACTAGAACTTGGCTGAATTGAGTTCACTTTCCTCAACAGCTATTTTATAGCTTGGGGGCCTCTGCCAATGGAGGTAGTTTGGGCAGAGCCTCCAGAGTTCCAAGTTTCCAGGAAAGGGTTCCAGAGCAAGAGTTCTGAGTCAAACTTCCAAGTCAAGGTTAAAGGACAAAGATGAATTGAAGTAGGGGTTCCACCTCCCGCTTTGCTGCTATGGCAACGAAACCCGAATTACTGTAAGTCATTTGATCTGTTTCATTTTCATGCTATAAAGCAATACTCCTTGAAGCGTCTCATTGCCACTGCAGTACTGTAGTTCCAGGTCCGTAATCTCACATTCTCGGGTTGTACTAGTGAATGTGGAAAAATCAACGCCGAAGCTACCTGTTCTCTCGACACCAAAGGATTTGAAAAGCAAGGTGTGGAACCTGAACAATTCATTGAATGAGCGCTGAGGTATCGGAATGTTTGAGGCTATGAGACTGTCGACACATGTTCTGAGTAGCCCGTGCACAATCACGAGTTCAGAGGCTGGCCATGAGCATACTGGGCAAACGCAGACTCCCAAGTTTGCTTTTGGTTGTAAGCTTTGCTTTCTGCCCAGATGTCCGATGTGGGCACTTGCACGCTCTGCGACAGTTCTACGCCCTCAACCTGTCAGGTGCCACTTCCAACACTGTGAATTTCGCATGGTTGGTCTCATTAGGTACAGACAAGAATTTCACTAGCGTAGTTCAAGCAATTTGACAAATATTTTCAGATCAGTCAGGTCAGTGTTAGCATCTTCACGATTTTGGACAAGAAATCTTCAGTGAGTGTCAAACATTTCATGAATCCTCTGGAGATACATCCGATCACCACTGCGCGGCTTTCGGTAAACTTCAAGCACCGCCACCTGGACGAGAACATCACAGGTTCAGTATGGTGCGCAGATCCAGATACGAGTCGTGTAGACGTGTAGCCGGCAGTTCTTCCAGTCAGTGGTGTAGCCAATTGGGCACGTGCCCTGCGTGGCTGTCATTCTACAATTCAGCAATGAAGTAGAGTGGAGCAGATGCTATTTGTTGTAGGCTTTGTTGTACCGTTCTTGAGTGTTGCCCTTTTGGCTCAAAAGCTTGAGTGGGCTTGGAAGGAAGTCATCCTGACGGGGGAAGCCGCCAACTAGTAGTGGGCGCTGGGCATTCGGGTGGAGGTGCAAACTTGTGCAGCGTGATGCAAATGATGCATGTGTTTGTTTGAGCGACTGAGACATCCCTTTCTATTCAAAACAAGACAGAGCATATCTTGAACTTCTCAAGTTGACAACGCTCCGTCTGCAGGAGGCTGGCCTTGCTGTTTGCATATGCCTTATGGTCCTTGCCCAAGCAGAAAAGTCTATTTTCATAGGCACTCAATCTGCTTGGCTGGATGTGAGGCCTCCAATCTGCTTGGCTGGACCTCATTTCCATATTGTGGACCAGCAGTCTCGGGCCAAAGCTTCAAGGGTTTTCCGGGCTACCTCGATCCAGCTTAGGCAGAGCCATGTCCGACTGGAGCGACAATCCGACTGGACCCCAAGGACCGGATCTTTGGATTTTGGCAGATCTTTAGCATTTTGAACGGGCTCCCCCCAGCACCCCTACGGCAGCCACTGACGTATATAATAGAGCGACCTCATTTGTTGGACTGAAGGAGTTCCCGTATGGTTTGCATCCTTCAACGTTACCTCTTGTATCCGAGACTGGCACAGCAGAGACCCTTACCATGTGTGAGGACTTTGTCAAGGGGAAGGGGCAGCCAGCTGCCTCTGTGAAAGACTCTGAAACATTCAGCTGTCTTCCCTCGGTCTCAGCAGCGGCTGCGGCTATGGCAATAGAGGACAGCACTAGATGCAAGCCGCAGATACAAGTGTGCTTTCTAATACTATCAACAACGATGGCAAAAGATGTGTGTGCACATATGTAGTTCATTTTTATTTTTTGTTTTGTTTGATCTGTGAGGAAGTTCACTTCAGACCGTTGGCTTGTGCCGAGCCCACCTCTCCCGAAGCGGAAAGAGGCGTTGGAGGGCAACGACTGGAACAGTGTCCGGCTTTTTGGTCCGGGTGGACTGGTCGCCTTGGCGTGAACCACCTGAAAATACCGATTCCCAAAAGGTAGTGAACATGTATGCTTTAAAAGGGTCTTGGTGCATCATTAGCATCACAAAGTGCTCAGGAGACTATTCAGATTGTGTCAAGAAACTTTTAAAGATGCTTTGTTGGCAAATTATACTGGCAAGTAAGGCATCAGATGCCAAACCAAATTCATCCTCATGCAAAAGCGAAAGAGGGCTTGGTGCTCTTTTTTAATGTGAAAAGTGTCCTTAACCAGAAGCAAAAGGGCACCTAGAACTGTATCAATCGTCAGTGTGCAACAGTCCATTATTGTGCTTACTTCCCTACTCCGACGCTATAGATTAGATGGCTACACGTTCAAATTCATGCTCATGCCACGTGAGCAAACACTCACGAGCGTTTATCGTTAAGGGTGCCCTTTTTTACCTGAAGAGGGCCCTAAACACGAAGAAGGGCACAACCTCGAACTGTTTTATTCAAAGATTTGAACGTTTGTACAAGCGCCTGGAATCCAAATCTATCCCATAGCCAATAACAGTAAACGGGTGTTAGTAAAGGCCTTCAACTTAGTACAGCCCTTGTGTCTACATCAAGCGTCAATGTGAAGCTTTGCATATCTCTGCCTTCTCTTGTCCGGTGCCTACAAGCTAAAAACCTTCTCAATCCCTACAGGGGCTGGCTTTCGTCCCTCCCTTCTCAAGTATATATATATATATATTCACAACTTTTGTATGTAGATAAAAGAAGAAATGATATACATATATAATATATACTGTAGTATATACAAATGATATGTATACATAGATGTTGTTGTGGACATGGTTCACCATTTTTGTCCGTTTCATACAGGTGAGAGTACTGCGTGCACTCAGAGATCAGTGTCGCAAACTCATTCCGTCTATGGCTTGGATTCTCGACCAACTTTTTATGTTCTCAAAAAGTGACTCTCCTGCCAGCATTTTCCGGAAGCTGCAGGGCATGTGTGAGATGGACACGGCCTTAGAGCCGGAGCAGGAGGACGGCTGTGGGAACAATTAATCTCGCAAACATGTGCATGCTTTTGTATATAAATTATATACATACTCGTACATTGTAAATGCCTAATGCTGAACTATACCCTGAAAGGGATCTTCGTGACTTTAGATTTATTTTGCTTCTATTATACACAGTGTCAGCATTCGCATCCTCTGTATAGCAGCATTGGAAGCAGCCCTCAAGCCAAGGCTGACTGACAAAGAAACTAGGCATAGGTGCCAGCTACAGTGATGAAGCCAAACAGTGTCCCCTTGTGTGCAAACAATCCTGATGCTTCGCTTGATTTCTGCAGTCTTGTGTATTAACAAGGAGTTGGATGAACGTGGCAAAGCATCAGTACAATGCATGCCCACTCGACAGGAGCTTTTTCTCGATGACGATGCTCAATCCCAGCAGAGCCCCAGCGCTTCCCTTGCTCATTTCCTAGACACCACCCGCAAGTCTGCAGAGGACAGCTGGAACTGCAGAACTTTGAAAGAATGCAACATTAACATAATAGATGTTTTTTTGTTTTTGTTCAATCGCATGAAGTATTTTGGGAGCACCACCCGTGTTTGCCATAGAGAGTGGCAATGGATAACCTCTTGCGGAGGACATGCGGCGTACTTGTGGTAATTGCCTCAGCAAGACATACAGATTCCAGTGTCAATTGCTTTCAATCTCCCTTGTTTGGTTTGACTTGTTGGATAAATAGTCCTCATGAAGGATATTGATATTGGCAGCATAATCCACCGCACACGAATTACCCAATCTAGCTTCCTGCATTTGAATGTTTTCACAGTACATGTTCAATCTCTCACAAATTAGGATGGACCTCGTTTTTGAATGTCGGCCAATGTCAACCAATGTTATCATCATTTTCGCAATTTGCGATAATTTCTCTTCCAACATGAGGTCGGGGATTCGGCTACGGTCCTTCACCACACTCCTCTATTTCTCCTGTGTCCTACCAGCCCACTGGCGATGCCCCTCTGCCTGCTGGAAGCTTAACACGTTTGACAGTGCTCAGACTGCCAAGCACGTGCAATGCGTCCAAGTCTTTGACACTATGCTTTGACCAGGTGCAATCAGAAGGTTTGCCGGTCGAAGCTGTCGACATGGACGACGGACCAGCGGAGGCTTGGGCAACAGCCAGGAAGACAAAGAAGAACCATGAGTCACTATGAGGGCTCAGCAAATTGGTGTTACTCAGTCGTGAGCTGAATGAACTAAATTGTGTGCTTATTCGTGCAAGTTTGTGGACACATTTAAGTCTAGAAAGATTAAAACATCATGGAAATACTTAAATTATGGAAAGATTTAATAAACAAATATCCTAAAATCGAACAATAATTTTATGTGTTTTAAATATGATTTAGATTGCTTGAGGATGCTTGAGGTGATTTCTAGTGATTCCTGTGGAGCCCTGCCGAGTTACAATTGCCCTTGTTGGGATTTGTGAGGCATTCAGTTTTCAATATTTTCCAGGTAATGCAACTATGCACCAAAGACAACTTACATCACGCGCACGATTTACAGCCTAAACCTTGCAGCACTGTCTGCATCCCATCAACATTTTTTGAGCTTAAGAAACTTACTAATTCATACAACTTTCTTGGTTCGAAACGGACTAGGTGACCAGGCCTGCCGATCAGGAATCATGTTGGCCTCATTTGGCATCCGTCGCCCTGTTGATTGATTTGTCATGATTTGTCCATGGCTGCGCACGTGCACGTGAGCTGCCAGCGCTGCCAGCGCACGCTTGGGACGTGCTCAGCGTCCTTGTCGAAATCAATTCCGCGGAACTGTTCGATATGCTCAAGGTTGGAGTAATTCGAGTAATTCTTCGGATGCAGTAAGCTGTGCTGCAACTGGAATGCGGCAGCAATGTTGTCACCAGTTTCAAGTTTGTGGCTACTGGTAACTACATGCGCGCTGCCAAGGGTGCTTGCATTTTGTTTTTGCTTAATTTAAGATATTCAAGCTCATTACTTTTAGCTACGCAGTCAACTCTGCTTTGCCATCAACCGATGTGCGCATCTGATCTGAAGTCAGCACCAAAGAAACATTCATCCGTCGCTGCAAAAATGTTCGATCCCAAACAAACTTATTTTGTCACACCTGAATAGTTTGGGGGGTGGGAATAACACAGCTTTCTTTCGCCGCAGATGATTCTTTTGATGCGGTTTGCTCATTGATTGTATTTGAATGAAGTGCTGTGCATGCCGCTGCTTTGAGGGCCACATGCCATTCAATCACTGAGAACACCGTGAGAAGGAACTACAACCGCTACTGATGGATCTTCAGAAATAAACTTGGCCCCCAAAAAACTTGCCCCTAGTACTAGTACTAGTACTACTACTACTACTACTACAACTACTACAACAACAACAACAACTACTACTACTACTACAACTACTACTACTCCTCCTGCTGCTGCTGCTGCTGTTGCTGAATCCCAAACAGTTTTGATGGGCTTGACTCTATTCACTCTCCCTCAGTTGTTCTATAGTGGCGGGGGCCGCCGACGACTAGTCAAGATCCAGCATTACCCTGCATGATGACTCCTACCATGAGCCAAGGTTTGAGTTGATAAAATGTCCTCAGTTTGTGGGCGCGTACTGTACGTTCTGCGCGTGCTAACACTGGTTCCCTCAAGAGAAATCCTTAACATTCCGTAATGTCATTTATGTAAATTGCTCTTGGAGGAGAATCCTTCCCAACTCTTATCACGCAACACTTGCCCACTCATGAACCATGGACCATAGATTTATATTGATTTGGCAGGACGTTGTGGATGAAGCTGTGCTCGTCACAGAGAGCGATGTTGTTGTCATGTACTCAGCATCGCTTGTGATGAATTTGATTTCGTGAGTTTGGAATATCCAAGAATCGAGGAACAGTCTACCTCCCGTGCGTCTGATGCCCGCTCGCGGACCATGCCAGACTTGGGCAGGGTGCAGGATTGACATCAACTTGGTCTCGCTTCAATGTTGCCTTGTACGCTCGGTTTGTGTACCACTTTACATACTCATATATTGAACTGTATTCAAGAAACACTGTTTCGTCTCTTCGACAACACATAGCTGTCATGTGATTTCCTTGTGGCGACTAAAATGCACGGTCGCATGTACCCTATGTTTCAGGGGTACAAGTGGGTGCTAAGTGGAAATAGGTGGAAGGTTGATGGCGCTACTTGCTGAACAAAGTACACTGTACACACTGAAGCATGTGAAGGAACCTAGGAAAACAAGAGCAGGTCCAAGCAAGTACATCAATATAGAGACTCAGAACCAGCAGCAGTTGACCAAAAAGCAATATGCACGGACAGCATGGTTGTACCATGGTGGGCGTCTTGGCTCTAAATTTGTAAGGGCAGCCAGATGAAATCAAAGCAGAAAATAATGGGCACTCGGCTATCTGGATGTCTCACCTTTTGCCAGCTAGACCCAGTCAATTGCCCCCAATCAATTGCAGTGTCCTTGCTGCGACTGGGCAAGGTTCATGCTGAATCGTCCAAAAGCATAATGTTGATCGTGCCGATACTCAGGCTTTCCTGGTGGTAGAGCAGCTGGTAAGAAAGAGGCGATGAATGTTGACTCACACATACAGACAAACCCTTGGGGTCCAACACGCACACATGCTCGCTCAATATGAACGTGGAGAAAGATAATCGTGGGTTTCCACAAAGGTGTTTGCGGAAAGCCAAGTTGAATACCGATGCAACAGCGCAGTCAACGTTGCAAGAGCTCAGTCAAAAGGAAGAGCAAAAAACGCAGCAAGAAGCATCAGACTTCTGACGGTGGGGCCGTGCGCTAGATTTTGTATGCTCAAGTTCAGGTCCCGGCGCACCCCTTCTTTTGGGCCTATATAATTACCGATAAAAAACAATATATATATATATAAAATGCACTTGGAACCACAGCGGGTCGATGGACGGTCTGGACTGAATGGAGTACTGTTCTATGCATCTGCAGACTTCTAGTCTAAGCAGATCTACTTGTAACGTCAAATGACCATAGGTCATCCATAGTCTTCCTCAAATGACGGCTTGGCCACGATATGAGACTGAACTTGTCGGTGAACCCTGACGAACATTCAACCTGGCCCGTGTGGACGACATGACATGGTAGAGGCTCTCAAGCAAAGGCTACACAGTTTCCGCACATCACTCCATGCGGCTTAGGATCTGCAAGTGTGTGGGTAGCAGTCCTTTAGGAACAACATGCTGAAATGCTTTAATTAATTTACCGCCAATGCACAGTTTTTCATGCCTAGAACAGACTCGTGGGCCTTTGCATGTCCACAGGGTGTATACCCATGGACAATTCTTTGTGCGCCTTAATGTCCACATGCACAGCCACTTTTTCTGCTTTGCAACTTAGTGAGATGCTTCATCACGAGTCGATACGTCAGTAAAAGACGTACCTAAAGTATCCTAAAGCCTCAAATGTTGCACAGGATGCAAGAATGCTGATTTTCAAAAACATGCCTCCAGCTTTGAAAGCGAACGATTATGAATCGGAATCATCTCATCTCCCAGCACAAATGTTACGAACCACCTGTTCAAAGCTAATTACTATTTCTGCAGAGTGATGTGGTTCCGGCACACCGCTGACTTTCCAAGATCGATTCACATGACAGAATGGGGGGTTTATCTGCCTGATGAAGGTGGTGGCAGTTTCCAATCCTGAAGCCACGACGGGTCGTCCACGCACACCCGGGAATTTCGTTACTTATCCACAACAACTCCTCGGTTCAACTTTTGTCCGATCAGGTCCGAAAGGGACACATCCCTGTGCAACAATCCATCCATTTCAAGCAAAGGATGAGCATTCTTGATTGTGAAGACAGCAATTGAGGTTATTTTGATTTATTTTGCATCGGCTTCTAAACACAAGTCGACCAATTCAACGTTTGAAATTTTGTGAGAAAGTCGAAGCTTACCTGACGTCATGTTGACCGGCGCTATTGATCTTGTGATGACAGCAAAGTCAATGTCATTAAAGCTCAAGGAAGGATATTCGATAATTACACTTGCCATTTGAGTCTATTTGCCGACCACAGGATTGTGTAGCAAAAACACTGAATGGCAAGGCATCTCTTACATAAATTCAAACCAATCTCAAAATTGAAGAAGAGTGCTCTCCGACATGGGACCCATTTTGTCTGGGCCGTGGCCAACATGTATGAAGGCTGTATTCTACTCCTTTGTTGCACAGCTCCTTTGTGATATTTTTGCACCTTTTCTCTACATTCAGCGAATCCACAAAAATATTGCTTACAAAGCCGTAGTACGAAGTACGAAGCAGTGAGTTGTTTTCGCCCTGTTTGATTGGCGAATTGCACTGCAGAATGTTACCTGCTGTGGATCGCAGATAGACAAACTGCATAATTGTTTGCTGGAATGAGATGTATTTTGCCATGGAGGAGTTTGACCGAATGCTGGGCTTCAGCAGTTTGGATGCTCCCAAGGAGTTATTCACCCAACCAATTGAATTGACATAGTTCTTCATACTTGTCATACTTTTACAATCGACTTGAGTCATGTCGTACGTACAACATCGCTACAGTGGCTTCCATGATCCGCAGGAGCATGCCGGCGACATAGTTGTTGATGACGCCCTGGCTGTGGAAGAGCCAGACGAAGTGGATTTGAATGAGGAGGCCAGCCCAAACCCATGAAAACCCATGCTCCCCTTGCAGTTGATGCAAATTTTAGGACACTTTAGGGTCTGTCCGGCAATTTCCAGCATCTGCCTGTAGAGCTCAGCAATACGTACCAGACAATTCTGCATGCTGAGACTGGAGCCTTGGCGATTGCCAATTCACACCTACAGTTTCGTCCCAAGTTCTGATTCTTCGATTGAGGAGATGCCGTTGTTTTTTTTTTTTCAACTTTTGGATTCACTTCAAAGGTCTATAGAGGAGGAACTGCGTGCTCATCGAGATCTAATCTCCCGAGAAGTGGAGGCATTTCTGAACATTCTGCCTTTTTGTTGCTGAGTTTGGGGAAGTAGATCCTGGTTTTTCAGGATGAGTGGAACTCTGGAACTCTTGCTCAAAGATATTGGAAGATGGAAGTCCTGGTTTCTCTTGGTTTCGCTCCGTAGCAAGGCTCGACGTTTGCTTGAAGACGCCTTGATGGCTGAGCGGCGGCGTGCCGAAGTAGAAGCCCAGGCAGCAAGAAATGTACGGACGGAAGGCAATGGAAAGCACAAGGCATTCATATTCGTCGTATTAGGTGGGGGTTAGGAGCTTTAGGCCGTAGGAGGGCAGTAGGAAAGACTCGGAAAGGTAGGAGCAAGCAGTAAACTACTAAGTAGCAGGAAGCAACGACTAGCAAGGCCGCAGATGAGCCGGTCGCACAGTCGAATCGGTTCCCTAGTGTTTTAGGGTTTGTATGGGTTTGTTGGTTTGCATTCAATCTTTACCCTGCTTGCATACCATTTCTGCATTTGAGTGGGACCTTTCTGGTGTAATTATGGGCTTTCTGCCTGCGGTATGTGCAGTGCAGGTATCGTGAGCAAGCCCCTGGTTCACAAGACTGTGTGCAAGTTTCCTGAGTGCCTCACAAAATCACTGACACTCACTAACCAACACTGCACAACCAGTTTTGGAGTTGGCCTCAACGGCAGGGACGTCGAAAATTGGAGCAAGAGATCGAAGCTGAAAAGCAACGTGTTGAAGATGAGCGTCGACGGAAGATCGAGGTGCATCACGGACGGGCAAATCAAGACTGACAAGGGTCCGCTCACGAACGATGTGTTTGATGAAGTGTCGGGTCATTAGCGGCCTTGGCCTTCTTACGGTTCGGTGCCAGGAAGCTGAGATGGCAGCTCGCCTTGATGAAGAGAAGCGGCTAGAGGAAGAGCTTGAAGCTGCGAGAAGGTGCAGCAAAATCAATCCCTGTCAATTGAAACGAAAAAAATTAGACTTCGGAATAACAAGTCCATTAACACGTCTTCCCAAGTCTAATTCCAATTATACTTTGTCAATCTTTGTCATTTTTGTCCCGTTCCAACAGCGATTCAGAGACCTCGAGCACACATCAAGCTGAAAAGATTTTGAGGCAAATGAGTTGATGCTGAAGAAACACAACTAAGAAACAACAATGACTCGAAAAAGAAGGTAAGGGCCCCTGTAGGGATAATTCAAAGGGGCCATTATTAAAGGGGCCCTCACGTTCTTTTCATGTGGTGAGGGTGTTTAAGTTTGTTGCAAGAGCTAGCCGCGGCACGCGGTGATGTACCAAATTGGGGTCCAGGGTCCTCCTCAGTTCACGACCCACACCAGAAGGGAACGCACAGCCACAGGTTCCAAAAAAGATGTATATTATATTACGAAATCCAGCCGATAGGCTAGGCTTGAGCTCTTAGAGCGAACGAAGTGAGTTAAGGGGGTGTGGGGGGGAGGGCGCGAAAAGGCACCTTTTGAGAGGGTGAACCCGGAGCTTGGTGGGGGAGAGCGCTCCAAAGCGAGGGTCAGAAAACCAGTGAAAATGGGGTCTGGTGATGCGAGTGATGCAATGGACGCCGAGTTGTGCATCATTAGCATCATGAAGATCATGAAGGGGTCTGGAGACAATTTTTCTAGTCCTGAGCAGGGCAGAGGGACTGTGCAGCTCTGATCATACCAAGAAACAAAGAGTGAACGCTCTGGGGGCGAACGATGTGAGCATGTCCAGTTGGGCGAGGTGGAGGCTTGGGGATAAGAGCGCCGCAGGAGGAGAAGCAAGAAAGCTGCAAGCGTTCAACACTTCATGCTGTGCTCCGATCTTGACCTGGCGCAGTGATACCAGCTCCACGAAACTACAAGCTTTCAACTATATATACATGCTCTGCTATTTTTTCCTCCCAGCCCTGCTCTCTCTATAGGGCTTTGCATTGATGCGCGATGCCCAAAACACAATTCAACAAAGCAACAAGAACCACTTCGGGCATCATTCTCCTGGTGTTCACTGACGTTTGTTTTTGCACGGATTCTCAAATAGAACACCAACAACAAACGCTCCAGGAGGCGCCGCACCAAGCAAATCAAGAATACTAAAAAACATTCAACACTTCATGCTGTGCCCCGATCTTCATCTACGTCGCAGTGATACCAGCTCCACGAAAACTACAACCATTCAAGAATGAGTGCTCTCCTCATTTTTTCTCCCAACCCTGCTCTTTATAGGGCTTCGCATTGATGCACGATGCCCGAAACACATTTCAAGACAACCAAAAACCACCTTTCGGGCATCCTTCTCCTGGTCTTCACTGACGCTTATTTTTACATGGATTCTCAAGTAGACCGCCAAACAGGGACGCTCCAGAGAGCACCGCACCAGGAAAATCGAGAAAACCTAAAACATTCAACACTTCATGCTGTGCTCCGATCTTGATCTACTCCACGTTGATACAAGCTCCACGAAAGCTACGGGCATTCAACAATAAGTGCACCGCTATTTTTTCCTCCCAGGCTTGCACTACCATATTGGTCTCTCGCTGGCTTTCGCCCTCTCCTTTCTCAGGTCTTAATTATACAGGTTTGTCCAATGAGGGTTTTTGCATTCATATTCTTGACCTGAAGACGTGCTGCGCAATGCAGGCGTGCTGAAGAGGAGGCAAGGCTAGCAGCTCAAAGAACTGAGGACTTGGCAGCAGTGCATTGCCATTTTGTCCACGCGAAGTTCAAACGTAATAACAAAAAACTACTAGGGGCTCCTGGCCTTACATTGCCTTACTACTAGGAGCAAGGACGCTACTAGGCATCGCTACTAGTAACAAGAAGCTAAGGAGGGTGACAAGTATTTGCAGTCCTTCGGGTTCTATAAGTTTCTATGTTGTTTGTCCTGCCAGTGAATTAAGTACTGTAGGTGAAACAGAAGTCACACTAGCTAGTTGCGTTGGTTGAGTCCAGTTTGATCCATTTTGCGATTGGGATTGGGCGGATTGGGTTGAGAGCTATGGGTTGAAGAAACGACCTTGCTTGAAAGCTATGCCCGATAGGAGCAGCGCCGACAAGCTGAAAAGCGGAGGCAACTCCAGGCCGAGCTGGAATGTAGCCAAACCGGCCGGATGCCATTCCTGACCCGCTGAATGCCAAACTATCTGAGTATCGCAAAAGACGCATGAAGCAGCTTGAATGGCTCAAAAGCCAGGAAATGGAGATGAAAGCCCGCGAGTCTGCCGCAGAGGTAGTGAGGGTTTGGCAAGAGCAAGAACACAAGAACAGAAGAGCAAGAGCACAGCAAGAAAACCCTCGCCATGATATCTGGCACCATGAGGCAAAAAAGGAACGAGAGAGCCGTGAAAAGGCCAAAGCATTTTTAGCAGCAGAAGGTGGCGGTGCTGGGATTTGCTGGGTTTGGTTGTGGTTTCAATCCTAAATCGTCTCCTGTCATTTGTCATCTGGAGCAGTTGTCCGATGGTTTGAGATCCCATGCTATTGCAGGCTACCGACATGTGCGTGCAGCACACAAGTGGTGTCCTGTGGCAAGCTGAGCTGCCCAAAGCTTTTTCTGCTTTTTCATCATCATCAAATATTGTTCTTTCACAAGGGAGGAATTCTGCTGAACCCCGTTTGGCTTGAAACTCTGTAAATCTCCGTAGAAGAAGCATGAAGAAGCGCAGATTCTGATTCCGAGATTCTGGAAGGTAGCTTACGCCATAGAGTACTCGTAGCATACAGCATACAGAGGGCTTTTAGCAACAACGAGTAAATCGGTGTTGCACTGTCGAGGTGGCCACCTATCCTCTGCACCGAGCAGTGCAATGCAACGATCCAGCGATGGTGAGGCAATGAGGGGAGCTGTGTGTGGTGTTTGCAAGGTGCAGCAGTGCACCACTGTTTGTAGAGCTTCCTTTCTTCAGGTTGCTTTTGTGGATGGGAGCCGATCCTGCAAAGTCAAATACTTTTGGGTGCTTGAGCGCATTTCTGATGCCCAACATGTTTTCAAAGAGTGCCCAGTGAGTTAAGCAAGAAGCTTTAGCCAAGGCAAAGCCCACTGGGGCTTGCTAAATGGATGAACAGGCGTGATTCCCACGCAGAGGCGAGCTGCGCTGCCCACTCTTTTGCGGCTCTTGCAAGGTATTGAAAGGAACACGTTCTTGTGCCTAACGGGTGATTCATTGCCCGTAAAACGGCAAGCACAGTGTTTTGGAGTAGCATAGACTGAAATATGCTATTCCATGATATTCAAAGTTTTTTTGTTGAATATTGTTACTTTGTCGACTCGCCACAGGTCATTGAAGCTCTGCAAACAGGAGCTGCTCGATAGAGCTTATTGTACAGAATCTCACCCCAAGCCTTCATGCAGCTCCAGCTGTCCATCTTCGCCAAACCTGGCTCAGCGCCACACGTGCGATGTACACTTAGCGTCTCGTGGTCAGACTTGACTGCCAATGGCTCCGCGTCTTTCCATGAGAGGCTAGTTTAATTTGTGCATTTCCGGACTGATTGAATTTGTTCGGAAAGAACCTTGCTTTCTTGTTTGCGCACACCTTGCCGCCCTGACTGTCAATACGTGCTGTGATGCACTGTGTGTTCGTGGCTCCTGTGGCGAGGTATTGCAAGAACCGCATGTCGGAGGCCCGTGAAGTAATTTGTTTGTAATGAAGATTAATGAAGCGAAAGAAAAGCTGTACGTCTGGCTAACCAGTATGCGCCTGTCTTTGGACCACAGCGTCGGATTGACCATGCTTCCGGGGTTCCGCATTCCATGGAACGGCCATGGGGTGCCCGAAGAATCCAGAAGTTTACCCATTTTCTTTTGGACTTTAAGCATTAAGATCATTAAGCATAGCTGCTTATTAAGTCATAGATGTCCAGGATCCTTGCCTCCCACAACTTGGGTTGCGAGCTCGGCTCTTTTCACGGAGATCTCAGGTGATCAGGCTTCAACATTGATGATCCCATGTGCCAATGACCTGCGGAATGCTGACGTTCAACTTTTCCATACACTGAGGTTTCTTGACCAATTTGCACTTGACTTGAGAACCCAGCGGTCAGATCAGCCACCTGGTGGCCCAGTGCCATGCACGACAGCTGATGTCAAGCCCACAGTGCAGAGAAAGCCAGCCCTTTGGTATTGCTTCAAGTAAGATGTGATCCTGCAAACACAAGCTGCTAAGATTCAGATAGCTCAGCATGGCCTGTCAAGACACAAGGTCCTGTCGCGTATTCAAAACCATCTCGAGCGCGCAGACCAGGTGGGACTCGCTGTGTGGGACGAATCCGGTGGGGCGCTGTGGGAGATTTGCCAGGAGATCTTGTTGCAAGCTTTTGAGGCAACATGCTACTACAGCTCCAGAGATGAGCGGGGTGAGGACTGCTTTTCTTTTGTCATGTACTGAGCTCCGAGCGCAACACCCATACCAAATTCTCAGTGAAACATTGCTTTCACGTTCGATTGACACAAAATGACCCAAAGCTATGAAAGAATTGGATATAATAATTAATACCAAGATCCCCGGATATCCCAGCTTGATTTCGAGCAGAAGTTGTACCTACAAGACCTTCCTCATATTCAGAGTCATTCACAACAGATACCAATGAGAGACATTCGATGCACTTGGGAAGTACTGGTGAAGGATGTATGGCTCTCCATTCCTTCTCCTGGTTTGGTGGACCATGCCTGGTCGGAAGCTGACTTGGCTTCGGCTTTATCACCGAGATTTCAACTAATCATCTTCAATGAAGCCGACTGGTTGACTTGACAGGTTTCAGAGCCACCTGGAGTACCCAGTCCTGATGGCCCTGGGCAGCTTGGTGCTGTTGACGTTGCTCTTAGGATGCTTGGCTGTGGAGGCGCGTTCTGCACTTAAACGACATCAAACAACAATATAACACAAAACGGTCAAATACAGACATTGTTGACAGTGTCTAATTTCTTTTCAGTTGCAGGGTGCAGAGCTCTATTTCTCCGGAATTGTCTGAGATGGTTCTTCCGCGATTGTGTATTTCTGATGAATAAGCGCTCCACTGCGCTCCACGCGTCGACAAGTTGCATTTCTGGACATTTTCATTGCAGCTCAATGCCAGCCCTTCTTGCTTTTGTCGTTGGGATATGTTGGGACAAAGCTCTCGTCCTTGTGATTTGGCTGCAAGTTTCTGTCTCACCCTTCAAGAATCCAGCATGCAGGGGGCGAATCCATTTGTTGGATCTAGCCCAAGCATGCCCAAGCTATGCAAGAGTAATCCAACAAATTGTTCAACTTCAACAAATCCAAGCTCACAGAGATATGTAAGACTTTCAGACGCTCACACAACAAGATTTGTCAATCTCATTCTGACATGCACAGCCTTGATGCAGGGAACCTGGTTTTTGAGATTTTGAGCTTCCAGTACAGATGTTTGATCTGAGAATTCACAGGACCAACACACTTTCTGAGGAGAATGCAGCAGGTCAACCTGGTCACCTGTTGGGCTGCCAAGATGTTTTGGTTTGCCTTGTGGCATAACAGGTTAATCTACGTGACAATTGCAAAGAATTGAAGCTCTTGAGCTGCATATGAGGCCCCCTGTGAGCCCCTCTGCTCCATCCAAAAGTGGCAATCTCGAATGGAAAGCAGCACCAACCCATGGCTACTAGTAGCGTCCTTGTTCCTAGTAATAAGGCGAGGAGCCCCTAGTAGCTAACTAGTAGCGTCATTGTTCCTAGTAGCGATGGCCTCCAACCTAATAGCGACAGGCTCCACCTAGTAGCGTCCGGTCCTTCCTACCCAAATATGATCTCAATTGCCTCAAAGTTCAGACACTCTGAGACCTGATGCAGTCAGCAAGCGAGCCTGCGTTGCAGTGTGACCCGTCAAGGACACCAAGTCTTCCCAAGTGATGTGCAGTGAGGATATGAAAAGCTTGTCTTGTGAAGTTCCATGCAGGTCGCTCCCAAAAGGATCCTTTCTGCCAAGACAATTTGGTCACCCTAGCATCGCGGCTCGCCAGGGCCTTGATGTTGTGCAACAGGGACCTTGTCATTGAATCGCTTTCGGGTTCCAATCCCAGGCCGAAGTCTGGCCCAAAAGCGGCAGGTGCATCGATCTGTTAAAGCGGTTTCATGCTTTGATTTTCGTTTTACCTGCTCAAGCGACCCCTGTCAGATCGATTGGCAGGCACTGATTCGAGACACCCGCTCTTTCGAGGACCTCAGCTTCTACGGCTCTCAGGTAGACCTGCAAGTCTGCCACATTTCCATGCTCAAACATCTGTTGAATTTGCATTCAGATTGATCAAGAACCCTTCAAATTGAGTTCTCTCGCATCCGATTGGATGGTTTTTCGGTGCCTATGCAACTGGAGAATTTCCATCGGCTGGTTCCTGAGGGTGCTTTGGGCTTTGCAGCTCATTTGAGAACACGCTTTGGATCGGTTCTTGTCCCTTGGCTAGATTTTGATCTGAGTGCGTTTGAACAATATGACGAACAATCTGTCTGTTACCATGTACTGTAATTACCTATATATATACATACATATAGAGTAAGATCATATCACATTTATTGATACATCATATTACGATTAGTATGGATGTATTGGCAAGTACATTGCAGATCTATACATACGAAGTCCTCCTTCTTTGTTAACATCTCCACGGCGTTTGTGTGGATCTGCAGTGCTTGGATGGGGCATTCTACCCAAAAATTTGACGGAACATGAGACTCATGAGGTTTTCTCATTTTCCGCAGAACGGTGATCAGTGGTGCTTGCAGGGTTGTCTCCTGCTAAAAGATGCAGCGCCTCTCTAGCAGCTCTAGCAGGGGACGCGTTTCTTTTTTCTGAACTACCTTCAATCGAATAGATTAATGAATCATTTCAAGCAGTTGGTAGCACTGCTTCAAGGAATGAACATGAGAAGTGATTGTTGTTGGACTGATTGGATCAGGACCAGCGCTTTTTTCAATGTTCTTTTCAGTGGCCAGCTGTGTTCACAAATATGCCAGTTTTCGGCGATGCTAATCATCGGTCTTTGGCTAGAGGAAACCTTACGCTCTTTTTAAGGTTGGAGCTCTGAGCTTGATGTATTGGTTCTGGGTTTTGGCGTCTCTTGTAAGCTAGGGCAGACGTAATAAGAGGGATCAGATAAAGCACGAGACACCATTTCTTCTATTTTCTTCTCACATTGGCCACAGGCTGGTTGGAGATGGCTGGATGACAGCAAAAAAGGACGCCTGTCATTCCACCCGCTCGTTGCCTGGATCGGGTCCTGTGCATGCCTTGCTCTGAAGAGACCCTTGCCAAGCTGAGGTTTTGCAAAGCAGCGCGGAAATCTGGCTTTCATGGAAACATGAAAAGGCCTGGATGGAAAACAGTTTTCAAGGCTCATGGCTTATGGCCCACTTTAGTACCTGCAATGACACTACGCACCACGCTACACTGCTGCCATGCCAGGCTTTGGGACGAGCTGTGCCAAGGCAAAACTTTTGTAACCTTGGAGGACATACCCTGTGATAGTTTTGCATTGCTCTGCCTGGAGCAGCCCAAAGCTTGGGATGTTGGTTTGTGCTTGCACGCGCAAAGGAGATGCAACCATGTCGGGAAATACACGTCCAAAAAACTGCCGAACGCGTGGAGTGCAGCAACTTTGACAAACTAGACGCATTCCGATACAGGACATTGACCCCCATGCCGGATCCTCAAGATTTCCTGCCGCATGTTACTTCGCATCCAGTGGAAAGATAACATGTGCTGTACCAACATTATGGTTGGCAGCCGGCCTTCGCCAATGAGGTGATCATTGAAGATTCATGTTTCAAATTAGAGGACTATGCATTTTAGTGCTCCAAGGTTTGGAGGACTGTGAGCACATTCAAAGAACAGTTGAGGAGAAAGTGAGCCACAGAAGCTGATACTCGGATATACCGGATATCCGTTTCAAGAGCGTGCGCCTCAAGTTCATTTTGTTGAGAAATTTTCCAGGTATGGTGACGACTTGCTACTTGCTTGGCAACAAGGTCTCGACCAGAGTGGGACAGGCAAGAGTTTCGTTGCAGTGAAGTGGAAACGATATTGATAGACACGGAACAATGTCTCACATTGCTTCACTTTTATCAGTGTATCAGTGTTTCACTATATATATGTATTGATTAAACTTGGGTGCAGGAAGAGCCACAGTAGAAGACTTGCAAACCTGCCTAAATGATCTTGGTGATTCTCTCAGCAATGTTCAGCCATGCGAGGAAAAACATAAGACCTCTTTCATACAACTTTGATGTACCAACGCTACTTCTTGTTACTAGTGGTAATTCACTTGTTACTAGTAGCGATGCACTTTTATGTTTTATACAAAAAAGGCTTCAGAGGAGTGCTTTTAGATGAATCTTTGAGGTATGGAGGTGAATGCCAAGGAGTCCTGTCCTAAAAGCAGTTTGGAGCGACCATTGAAAGGCTTGTCGATTGTACCTGGTGAGATCGGATTCTAAGACATCTATGTTACTTTTTTATTATCAGTTCTTATGTCTTTTTACTTATTTCGAACACGTTCCAAGGTTACTTTCAATGTTTGTCGGGCCCGGGATGTCCATTTCCAAGCCTGCAAAGCGCAATCGGAGTGCAAGTGGCAACCATATATATATAATATTATATACATAACATGCAGCCGCTGAGGACCTGCATGACCCTTGCAGACTTCGACCCCAAGGCCTATGTCAGGCCAGAGAGCAGTTTCCGAACATGAGCGGCAACATCAGTCTTCCCGCAGTTCACAACAAAAGCATGAGCTTTTGCAGGTGGCAAACAGAGCCTTCCACGCCAATAGGCAGGTGGGGGGCGCCTTTTTAGCAGAGGTGACTTCTGAGCGTGAAACCACCATGTTTTGTTATATATATATATGTAGTGAGTAGAGCAGCGTTGACTGTTGCTGCAAGTTTTTGTTCTTCACACGGTACTTGTAGGAGCCCCTGTTTGCTTGGTGCTCTTTTGAATGCACATGCAAAGGCGATCAAGCAGCAAACACTGCAGAGGTATGGGCCTAGGCTGATGCGTCGATTACCCCATGCCTATGCAAGCAACCGCCAAAACCTGCGACAACCATTTAGTAAAGAGCGGTGAAAGTCAGAAATTTGGCTGACTTACTAGGGGCTCCTGGCCTGACTACTAGGAGCAAGGACGCTACTAGGGGCTCCTGGCATCGCTACTAGGAACAAGAAGATACTAGGGGCTCCTGGCCTTACTACTAGGAGCAAGGACGCTACTAGGGGCTCCTGGCATCGCTACTAGGAACAAGAAGATACTAGGGGCTCCTGGCCATACTACTAGGAGCAAGGACGCTACTAGGGGCTCCTGGCACACCATCTCGAACGGTCCACGCGTCGTAACTACGCCCACTCTGGAGCATAGCGGTGAGAAAGATCTAAAGGAATGCACAAACTAATTAAGCACCACCGGCAGCGGAACGTCCCACGACGAAAGGGGACGAGCAGCACCTTGATCGAAAAGATGCACCAACTTCAAGCGTTCATCATCCGTCATGAAAAGTTCAGCACCTTGTATGATACCCTTGGGAAGGGCTCGCCCAGCATATTTGGTGCCCGTAGGAACAAGTTCTCCTGGAAAAACATGTCCATGTTCGATGCTTGAGGCAAGCTTCAACATTGAGCGAACAACCAAAATCAAGTGGTGATAAAAGCTCACACCAGCTTCGAGTTGAGAGTGCTTGTAACCACGCCACCAGAAAAGGCAAGCGAGCTCTGTCGTCGCAGTACATGAGTTGGAATTCAACCTCCAACGTAGGCCCTGAAGGAACCGTCGACAGTTCCTCCAGTCATCATCACTACTGGTCCATCGTGTGGGAGGACTCTGGGTGTCATAGATGTTCGGCTTCCATGTAAACAACGACGGCGGGGCAGCCCATGCCCACTGAGGAAAACGAGACACAACCGATGCTGGGGTATCTGTGGCAACCTTCGGGGCCCTCGAAAAGCTCGGCGAGGGTTGCGCAGTTTC